CGGATCACTGAGCATCTGACGCTGAAGACTGTGCTACCTGTTAAAAGGTGCCCAGAATATAAAGGCAAATTTCTTTCAGAACATACCTCAAATGCATCAGATCTGTCCTCAAATACAAGCACAGCTGAGGAACAGCCTATGCAGATCTATGCCGTTACACATGGAAGGAATAGGTCCTATGCCTTTGTCTGTCCAAGAGGCAGAAAGTCTGCTTTATGTCTAATTTCCCATGGGGTCAAAAAAATATCACAGCAATCGCTGAACTGAAGTTTTGTTATCACTCTTGATGGGGATTAATATAAATAATATTACTTTCTTCTTTTAGGAATTGTGCATCAGAAGTTGCTTCTGAAACTTAATGATGCTTAAAAATGCTATTTTTTAAAACTGGACACAACAGTAGGAAAAGTAAAGTGTTCATACCAGTTCCAGGCTGCATAAAGGACTGTAGGTTCACGTGGGATCGAACCCAAACTCTTTGAATGTAGGGGATGGCCTTTAAAGTGCTGCCACCCTCATAGTTGCATGTTACTACATGAAAATTAGCAAAATTCAGACTAAACAGAAGCCTTCACACCCATGTACAGGAAAGCGAATGCCACACCTGATCTCAGCAAGGGCAGGGGACTCACCACAGATTGCTCTCATCATGAGCCACCTATAACTGAAGAGGGGTTCAAAGATGTGGAATAGGAAACCAAAACCTTATTTTTTGCAAAGTAGGTAACACACAGAGGAACTCAAAGTATTATACAGTACTTTGCATACAAGCTAGGGATCTTATGCTATGCATCACACCCATTTTAACCACTTTTTCTGGGTAATTTTATACTCTTTGGGCCTATAAATATATGGAACACTTATTTTATTTCTTCTTTTAATTAAAACCGGAGCAGCTACGAGAAAGAAAAATAGCTCCAATACTTCTTGAACAATTCCAATGGAAAACAATGGAAAAGTGTTGTTCATATTTAACTTTTGTTAGAGAAAGAGAGAGAATTTGGGAGAAAATGTAGTTTGGTGTGGTAGTTAAGAGGAAAACTATTTTATACTTAAATAGATGAAAATAGGGTGCAACCATGTTATCATGCTTTGAAAAGTAGCCTAGCTAGTAATAGTACTAATTGTGAAATAGGTGATAACCACAGGCTTTGGTTTTTTTGTTTCAAGCTAGAATTTAAGATGAGACATAATCAGTCAGAATTTGATGTTTTGTTCCCTTTATAGATAATTCTTTTCTCATTTTGATAAAGGACTTTGCCTGTTGGCACTAGTGTTATTTAATCTCTACATTTATACTTTCCAGCAAGTCTACGAGACAATAGATTTGTACTCTCATATTGGAAATGCAGAAACATTAATACTAATATATATTGACCACCTCCATTCTGAAATCCAAGTTTGCTTACTTATTTATTCATTTAACTTATATGCCGCCCACACTACCCAAAGGTCTCTTACAGTTTGATCATGGTTCCTAAAAACATGGGGAGTTTATCTCACATTGAAGTGAATATGATCAGAAGCTTTCTTCACATCTTCCTTCCCAAAAACTGAGCAAGTAGTTATCATGACAGTTGCATTTCTTAAAAGTGCCTATTTCCTTCTCATTATTTGAGTATAATTAAAATAGATACTTTCAGTTACTTTTAGAAAGTATAATTAGCACGCTGCGAGCCATTGCGTAGGGGTCCAAAATAGAGGTGGGGGTATTCGTATTTATATACAAATACGAATATCCCCCCACAGGTGCAGATAATGAGGGTTTGGCCCTCAATTTCGCCACTGCCTTGAGCTCCATGGATTAGCCACTCTGCGACCTGGCAGAGAGGCTTGTCATCCCACCTTCTGCTAGGACTGGGTAATCTATCGCAAGCAACGGAGCGCTAGGAAGGCTCCATGGAGCTCGTGGCAGTGGCAAAATCGTGAATAGTTGTTCTGGCCCCAACCACTGACTGCACCATCTTTATCTGCACTTGTGGGGGGATATTCGTATATGAATACGAATACCCCCATCTCTAGTCCAAAACAAATCTTAGTAAGGTGACATATACCTTTTAAGTGTAAAAACTACTAGAACAGCTGTAGTTATGCTGCAAAAAGAGTGAAATTATCTCTCAGTTTACTAGGGGATCAACATGTAGCTCAATTATGCCTTAGCTAGTTCAAGGAAGGGATTAATTAGAAGTAATCACTATTTATAAGCAGTTACTCCCAAGCTGTACCTAAAAATGACTCCATATTTGTATTCCATTGTTTTCCTCAGGCTACTATTAAGGCAAGTTCTTCCTCTGGTATTTTAACAGAAGAAAATGTACCTATCAAAATTTCAAAGTAAGGATTCGTTGGCCATTGCTCACACATATGATGATCAGGTGTTTTGTGGAGGTAGCAAAACTCTGTCTATTTGGCATTTTCCTTGATCCCATTAGGGACTGAGAGATTGATAAAGGTCATAATTTATTGGCTTCTGCAGTTAAAATGTGATTCCCTTACACTTCCTTGAACAGTGGAGAGTCTATCCCTGCAGAAACCCCTGAAGCCAAACATAAAGTCTGATTTGTGCCAACACCATTCTTATATACTGGTACCAGAATATAGAAGTGTGAAGCTCCAGTTGCTCAGGTCTCCCTGTTATTCTAGCATTTAGCATTCTGTTTTCAGGCTACTTGCTAAAAAGGATGTCTCTCTGACCATGTCATCTTTCTAGGAACTCAACCTGTGTTACTTACTGCTGTTTTTTAGTGCTCTTCAAAATGATATTATGCTACAGTCTAGAATAATTTGAAGCAGTCTTCTGCTCAGCACATGTGAGCAGAAGACTGCTCACATTTTCACTTTTCACATACTCATGCAGAAAAGGTCAGAAGTGCAGATACAACCATTATCAGTCTGCCCCTCTTAACACAAACAACAGTGGAACGTTGGTAGATTCTAAGTTGCATTTTACGTGAGACGCACTGATCATGTAGAAACGATATCTTAGAACAGATTTGGATTTTTCACAATGCATGGAAAATAGTATTGAAGCATATAAAATTCAAACCGCCAAAATTAAAGTTATCTTTATCACAGTAAGATGTAGCAACTGCTATAAAATAACAAACACATTGATCAACAAGTACAGAAAGCTAAACAACGCACTGCAGCCACTGCATTAAACATCTGATCATACAGAGTCAGAGGCCTTGGAGCAGAGTGAAGTCTTGACCTGGCACTCAGAAGCTGGTGTAGTCAGTGGTTGGCAGGAATTACAAAGAAGATCACTCAATAATCAGGGCTTCCTCTCTCTTTGTTGTTGTTGTCCTCCAAACCTCCACTAAGAAAACAGGTGCTTCATATACCAAAATAATTTAGTTATCTTCGAGTACTGTGCACTTGGATTTAAGTGTATGCAGGAAGGTATTTACTGTTCTCCTTTGGACAGCAAATGCCTTAGATAGGGCTTCCGACATTATCTGAGGAGACTGATCTTCGTTTATATGCAGATTCACATTACAATAAGATATTGTGCTCCTGAATCATACTTTATAAGCTGAAATGAGTGCACTTAATTGAACTCAAATATTTGTTTAGTTATCATATCACTGTACTGATGTTGACCAGGAATAGGTACTTTTTAAAATTAATAATTCAAATACTGTAGGAAAATCAAAATGTATTCGTTCTTGCAATGTATGTTTTTCACTGGTTTTTGAATAAAACACTTGGGCTCTGATGCATCAAGATGCTTTTCATAAATATACATGTTACCATTTTCCTTTCATTTAGAAGCCTTCTGGGCCCATGTGTAGTGTAGTCCTTCTTTAAAAACTTCCTATTTACTATGGTATCAAGTTTACAATTCTGGCATATTGTTTATGTGGGAATGCCTTGTCAACATTTCTGATTGTTTAATTATCTGCTCCTTAGCTGACATAAAACTTAACATTTCCCTCTCCCATGTTCTCATCATAGTTGTGAACTTAATCTGTTTCTTGCCCTGTTCTTTCAACAACAGAATTTTGTATGCCACTAAATTAAATTAAAGGAATTAATTTAAACAAATCCAGCAGAACTAGAGCATAGATCTTTTCTCTCTGGACATCCTCAGTGACAGTTCCATATTTATCTATTATCTATCAAGGAATGTTGAAGTATCATTCATTATTTATTCATAATACAGTTAAACTGCGTTTTTAAAATAACTTTTAATGTGGGATTCAGCGTATGAAGGAAGGGCAAAATTAACCAATCTACTTAGCAAATTTTTACTGTATTGGTTCAGTCTTTCTCTATTTAGAGTGGCAGTAGGGGAATAGAGATGTGAATAAATTATCTGAAGAGCGCTCCTTAATTCTTGTCTTGTATTTTAATTTCACTTTCTGTATACAATAATCACATTGTGTAACATTGCCGTAGTCCTTTCCTAATCTGAATCAGACAACAAGTAACTTTATTCACCATTGAAAATACCTTATATTTTCAGTGAGCATAATGTATTGGCTTAAATGTTCTAATTTATTTAACTTCTTTAAGATCATCAGCTCCTACCAGGGATGTAGCTTGTCTGGAACTCAGGCTCCATTTGTGCAGCAATCATGTTACTATTTTATGTCCTGTGTTTTTACACATATTTCTGTATAACCCGAAGGGCATGTGAGCAGAAGCTAATTTCCATTAATATTATGATCCTTAATAGTCTTTTATCAAGAGACAGATATTCCATTTGTCTCCCTAATCACACAGGTAAAAATGATACATAGAATTTGTCTGTTGTCTGTTATGACGTTTTATTATCAGCCTGTAGTAAAAGAAATACTTTTCATGCTGATGCTGAAATCTAAATTTGACATCCAGGGTTTGATTGTGAATGCCAACATGCTTATATTAATCAGTATGAATTTATGGACATTGCATGTTCAGTTTCAGTTGGTAGAACCTTTCTTTGGCTGTAAAAATCTCTTGGAAATAATAGTATCAATACTCACACATTCTTTTTTTTTTACTCTATATTGCAGTGTACCAACATTCCAGAGCCTCCCTGAAGAGATACTCAGTAAGCTTGCTGATGTCCTTGAAGAGGTATTTGTTTTAAATTTGGGGCATAGTATAACAACATAAGTATCAAGTGTTTTGTTGCAAAAGTATTTCAACTATGCCAACCACCCATCCCAGTTGTTGTCTTTGACCATGGAAAAGGGACAGGAGAAAAGATAAGTGGCATATTCTATTTCAGTAGGGATCGTAGTTTCTAGAGAAATGTGAAATCAGCATTTTTACATAAGCGTTAGAAGCCACAGCAATCATAGTTTTCTGATAGTTTCTGTCAGCTTATATTAATGCCGGTTGGCTGACACTAACATCAACCCACATTCACATTGGTGCTTCATCCTATAATGTGGGACTTCAAATTGTGAACTTGCTCTTCCTCCCCACCACTACCACCAATAACAAGATGGGCCCAAAACAGCAGCTTTCATGACCTCACAAGTCTTCCAGAGAGGATGACCTGAGGCAGAGAAGGAACTGTCAGGCTTCATAGCCCTAGACCTCTGTGTCGACCTGAATCAGAATATGAGATACGACAATCTGCCTGTCCACAGGATGAGAAAACCACAGGATGAAGGCAGAAACCTGGATAGAAATGCTGGCTTGCAGGTGTCAAGTTTGAGAGAAGGACCTCTTAGAGGGAAAACTCTTTCTGCCAGAGGGACCAGTAGGCCAACTGCTGCAATGTAGATCAGGAATTCCTTTCCAGCAATCCAAATACCTGCAACTTAACTCTGGGTGCGACTCTGGCAGGTTAGCTATACAGACCTGAGGCTGAAACTAGATGTTTATTAGAGACATCTTTTTAGCTTCTGCCCTGACCTTTATTGATGACTAGAGATGCAATGAATATTCACAAAATTTCTTGTTGTGGGTCTCCTCATGCTGAGACTTCCTGCAGAGACTTCCTCTGCATCAAAAAGATTTCCTGGCTTCTGGCAAGAACAAGATTTTGAGCCACAACAATACCCACTGTTTTTTATTCCAGGGCTCATGGAGTGACTCCAAGAAATGGTTTATGTGAAGCAGGAGCTCAGTAACATGTGGAGCTTGTTGCACATCAAGAAATGTGATTAATGGAAGACAGCATTCTGACTGACTTTTGAAGTTTTGATTACATAGAGATGACATTCAGTCAGTGTAGTACTCCTGCTAAGTTCTGTCATTTTATGAATAATATTTTCTGGGACTTCCTGAACTTCTTCACCATTATTTGTTCAGCTTTTCTTCTGTTCTACATTCCATGTCCCCCCCCCCCTTTATTGGCTTTAAGAACACTGTCTGCATGCAGGGATAGCATTAGGAGGGAAAAACCTGAGAATGAGCTGAGGCTCAGCTAAGGACACTAAAAGCAACAAAAAAGCGTTCTTCAGGTATGTACATAGCAACAGATTAAGAAAAGAAACAGTGGCTCAGCTACTCAACAGAGATGGAAAATTTGTAGCAAATTACAAAGAAAAGGAAGAAGTGCTCAATTCCTATTTTAGCTCAGTCTTTTTCAAAGGACAGACTATGACCCTCCAGACAAATGTGAAGTGTAAGTGGAGAGGACAAGATTTCAGCTAAGATTAACAAACAGTCAAGGAACATTATATTACAGTGGTGCCTCGCTAGCTGATGATAATCCATTCCACTGAAATCGCTGTTTAGCGAAATCATTGTCTAGCGAAAAGCATTTCCCCATTGGAATGCATTGAAGCCTGTTTAATGCGTTCCAATGGGGAAGAATCATCGTTGTCTAGCGAAGATCGGCCATAGGAAAGCCACTTTGCGAACTGCTGATCAGCTGTTTAAATCGCTGTCTTGCGAAGCTTAGGTCTGAAAACACCTGTTTTGCGAGCGTGGAGGGAGCTGTTAAAATTGTCGTCTAGCGAAAATCGCTTTGCGAAGCAGGTACCAAACATTGTCCAACGAAAATCCCCCATAGGAATCACTGTTTTGTAAATCACTATAGTGATCACAAAAAGTCAATGTCTAGCGAAAAAACTGTCATGCGGGGTAACTGTCTAGCGAGGCACCACTGTACCTTGAATGAGTTCAAATCTCCAGGGCTGGATAAACTACATACAAAAGTATGGAAGGAACTGACTGAAGAACTCTCAGAACCACTGTCCATTATTTTCTTGAGCTCATGGGGAATGGGTGAGGTGCCAGACGAGTGGAGGAGGGCTAATGCTGTCTACAAAAAGGGCAAAAAGAAGAAACCTGGGAACTAGAGATCAGTGAGCCTAACATCAATCCCAGGGGGGAAAATTCTGGAACAGATTATAAAGTAAGTAGTCACTATGCAAACACCTAGAAAACAATGCAAGTAATAAATAGAAGCCAACACTGATTTGTCAAGAACAAATCCTGCCACACTAATCTGATCTCATGTTTTGATTGGGTAACTTCTGTGATAGACAGAGGAATGCTGTAGACATAGTATATCTTCACCAGCAAAGCTTTTGACAGAGTGCCCCATGATATTCTGATTGGCAAGTTAACTAGATGTGGACTGGATAACTGTCAGGTGGATAACTATTGGCTACAGAATCGTACTCAGAGGGTGAGGTGGATAACTATTGGCCACAGAATCGTACTCAGAGGGTGATGATTAATAGCTCCTTCTCAAATTGGGAGGAGGTAACAAGTGGCCTTATAGGCCCCTTCCAAGTTCATCATTCTATGATTCTAAACTGGATAAATGCAGCATTTACCTCTTGATTGTGGATTTCTTGGGATATTGCATAATCTGCTTCAGAGTCCAGAAGGATTCCAACTATTGGCCACAGAATCGTACTCAGAGGGTGATGATTAATAGCTCCTTCTCAAATTGGGAGGAGGTAACAAGTGGCCTTATAGGCCCCTTCCAAGTTCATCATTCTATGATTCTAAACTGGATAAATGCAGCATTTACCTCTTGATTGTGGATTTCTTGGGATATTGCATAATCTGCTTCAGAGTCCAGAAGGATTCCATCAAAGTGGAGGCCATTTTATCTTGTCACTCTCCTCAAAGAATGAAGGATGCACATGGCCTCTTTGCTCTCGCATTTTCTACTGCTATTTTGTCCCTGGCTTTGTCAAGCTAACCATATCATCAAAATCTGCTTTAGTCTTGATTACCATTCCTGTAGCAAGTAGCTGTCAAGCGGGTTGCAGAAGTTGGAAGCATTCACCCCAGTCAGTTCTGTAGCATTCTGGCCTCTAGACCCCATTTGTGCACTGTCTTAGCTCTGGGTTACTCCTGGCCTTTGGCTTTGGAGCACTCTCATCTGTTTTACGTGGCTTTCTAGTAGCAGTCTGTTTGCTCAAAATCTGCATTTTCTCTTGGCCCTGATCCTTTGGTGATAGGGAATAACACTAGCCAGGTTTCATGGGCCTAAATCATAAAGCACATATAGTTTTTTTTTTGTGAATTGTAGATTTTCATTACTGTGGCTTAGTAGAATGAGCTAGAAGTAATGGATTCCTACAACTAATTCAGTGTTTCCCAAATCTCATGGTGCCACTGGAAATGGCCAGCCTGAATCATGCTGCTAGCAAATTTGGAAGCTTAAGGACCAGGTAAACATCATCAGTCTCTGTTAGCTGATTTCTGTCCACCTTTCAAAATGAATTTCAGAAGGCGGGAGGAAGAGTGACACTTTCCTTAGGTTTGGTCTTTTCAAACTGGCAGAGGAAACAAAGCTCAGAAAATTTAAGCCAATTATAGACCAAGTGAAGCGGAGCTTGCTAGTTGCTATATACTATTGTAACAACAGGTTTTATTTTTAAAATAATAGCATTCGGCTTAAATATCATATGATGTTTGGCATGCAGTTGTGGAACTTAACGGTAGTGATATTGCAGATGGGCTGGTGGAACTGCATGGCTGCTACAAGTGAAAAGGATCATGAGAACCGGTCCTCAAATGCCTTTCCACTTGGCTAAGTTTCCCTGGTGGACTGGTCTGTGGCTGCAGATGTTCTGACCAACTTACGGTGTTAGGCAGAACCTGTTTTTGTTTAACAAATATGTTCCTTTTCAGTCAATTATTTAATCTAGTTTGAAGCATAATTAGTTTAACAACACATCTACACAAGCATTTCCTTTGCTTTCTTGATTGTTCTTGAAATTGATAGGTGACTGTGACAGAATCACTGCCTTGTTTTTCTTGATCATAGTTGTGGCTTTATACGTTCCTGGTGCTCTGTAGATCTGCCACCTGTCAATTGAATTTTGATGAGCTAGACTTTATATAATCCTTTGCAATTAAGATATACTGGTGCTAGAATGTTGATGAAACATTTTTAATGACCCTCGGGCCCTGGAAGATGTGGGAAGACTTGTGCTTGCTCATTCAAAATGTATTAAATACATATTAATTTCACAACACACAACTTCTGAATGTTGTTTGTAATTTGCCTGCCTAATTACTACAGTTGCACCTGCAGAATTACATGCTAGCAAGTCCTCTAGGCACAAATAATGACTATTAAAATATATCCTCTGTGTTGATTATATAGCACCTATAAATAAAATATTGTTCTGTTTTTCTCATGATTACGGATTTCGCACAAATTTATTGCCTGATAGAAAAATAATTTGGATTTTTTGATCTATGAACCCATTTCTTGGGGAGTTATTGACATCATAGTCGGAATTCCCTTTGAAAGCCAACTTTTATTAGTGTTTATCTCTTGTCTTTTTTCTACTTTCTTCTAGCATGTGAATAAGGAAGGCTTTTAGACTGAAAATGACTACTTTTCAGTCTACTGAAAGAGCCTACTACTCTTCAGCTATGCAAAAAGTAATAATAATTTGAGAAGGAGCATGCAAATTGTATAAACTATAAATAAATACTTAGAGAAAGTAACAAATGGATTGATTTAGTTTACCTGCAAGTAGCTGTAAGCTTGAGATAATGTTATAATATATTTAAACTGAAAAACTGATAAAATGTTTTGGTTCATTGTGTAAACATCAACATAAAGTAAATTGATAAGTAATGCATACTAATATGAAGAGGATTTCCCCTGTTGAATTAAATTACGTATAACTTGCCAAGAT